CATCTAAAATTGACCTTTTGTTTTTTTTTATTTGCTATTAAAAGAGAACAAGTTTAATTTGTTAATTTTAGCAAACGAAACCAAATTAATTAATTTTTTACTTTAGCTGTATGTATTTAGCAAATTATTAGGAATGACATCAGTATAATTTTGTTAAAATGTGACAAAAACAATTCGTTATACATTTAAGAGAAATATAAAAAAATAATTAAACTCCTTCATCTATAAAGTTAGACTTTCGGTTAAAGTAAGCGTAAGCCAATAATTAAAAGCATCCTTATAAAAAACCCAATAAATTTCGACCCATTTCTTTGATGAGTATATAAGATATGTACTCCAGAATTTCATTATTAAAAATAAACTAAATCGACCAATGATCTGTTTAGACATGATCAAGAAATCGCCGACTACTTTGATTTAAAGTTTATAGTTTTGGATCTTTATAAATAACAGAAAACACGCATAAGTTTTTGTACAAATCATCATTCCTAGACCCCAGCTAACAAAGATCCACACTTAAGTTTAATATGTATATCATGAACGGCATATAATCGCAGCAATCATTTCCCGATATACATGAATCTATCTTGTGAATATCAACCTTCGATATATCTTTTAACTTATGGCAAATATGGTTATAACAGCAGTAATTTGCTCTCCACCCTAATAATGACAAGAAAGATCAAGTTATAGTTTCTTTGGAAAACTGTTAAGCCCACTTCACATGAACAAACTTTAAGTACGTAAAGTTTAAAGGGCCCTTCACACGATCACACTTTACACTTTACATATGAAAAAAACAATAACAAAGATGAAAACAGCTGTCTTACTTTTTCTCTGTGTTTACATAAAAATACAACCCTGACCTAATGTGAATTGCTTGTTTTTTTAATCATTGCAAAAAATGAATCATTACACATTGTAATTTATTACATATTACATTTAGACAATCCCATCCTTGCTCTTCAGAAGCAATACTTTGACAGGTCATATTACTCGTGTGCCCGCCCGTGTATATCTAGTCCTTTCTTTAAATATGTACATTACTCTCTTACCAAATTGCTTCCTGGTAAGTAATAGATCAATAGGTATACAATTTTTTAAACTAAACGGAAACTTTAACCAGATTTTCAACAGTAAACCTGAAACTATTAAATTAATATGACATTTTACGTCGTTAAAGCCTAATGACCAGTAATATTAGTGCTCATTAATAATCCAAAATTATATTTATTAAGCAATGCCGAACTAAAATCGTTTACCTACGTCGGTTGTTTTTAATTAATTTCAAATTCTTTGTATTTTTCCAAACAAAAACAAATCTACTATGTAAATATGTATTTAATATTGTTCACCAAATATTTTTTATTTGAATAATATCACTGTGCCTCAATGTACATATAAAACGAATTGGAAAAAAAAAAAGTATTCAAAGTAAACTTGCAGAGTGTGTGACGTCAAAAGGCCTCTATAAACGCTCCGTAAACACACAAACCTACCACTTGTAACTTGGCACACACACCCTCATTTGTATATTTATTTTGTTGTTGTTTGTTTAATGTCTGGTGGTTAGAGACAGTGTTGTCAAAGCATTTATATGAAATCTAAAGTTTATGTGAACATTACTGAAATTTCGTTCGATCTAAAAAGCGATAACATTAATGAATCATCTGGGTTCTTGATAACTAAAATTAAATCATATTCATTCGACGAAACATTTCTGTGCCTTTGTTATAGAAATTGATGAAAACAGATTCAGAAATCAATGAAGAACAAGCGTCGACCGATCAGTCCAGACGATAATAGACGTATAATCTTGGTTCTGATACCCGACATCAGCACATCGAATAGACATTTATGTATGTGTTCAGTATCGATTAGAAGCTAATGATCTATCTAGGGTACACAATAGGGATACAATATCATATCATCTACTTCCTGATAATTCGACCCGTTCGGCTGGACATCACCGATATAGCATCGAACCAATAAAATGCAGGAATGATTGAATCTACATTGTGAATATCAGATTGTGCAAATGGAACTCTGCTTAACGTTAGCTCCTCGTATTCATTATGACAAGAGAGACCAACTATCAAGAGTTAGGAAAGTGAGTCAAGAACACCTCGACTGGATAGTACAGTTTTGGAATTTTCCAAAATTTTGAAGTATTTTGAAAGTTTAAGCTCTCCGAAAGAGGAAGAGATAAGAGGATCTCTGTACCATCTATTCTTGTAGGAAATCCATTTGAAAGTGATCATTAGCTCCTTGTCTTCATTATGACAAGAGAGACCAACTATCATCAGCTAGGAAAGAAAGTCAAGAGGTCAACCTCGCATAGACCGAAATGGAGATTTATACAATTAAGAACACCTCGACTAAATGGTACAGTTTTTGAAATTTCCAAAATTTTGGAGAATTTTGGAAACCTAAGCTCTCGTGGAAATATAATACCGAAAGAGGAAGAAGTAAGAGGAGCTCTGTACCATCTATTCTTGTAGGAAATTCATTAGAAAGTGGTCATTAGCTCCTCGTCTTCATTATGACAAGAGAGACCAACTATCATCAGCTAGGAAAGAAAGTCAAAGAGGTCAACCTCGCATAGACCGAAATGGAGATTTATACAATTAAGAACACCTCGACTAAATGGTACAGTTTTGGAAATTTCCAAAATTTTGGAGAATTTTGGAAACCTAAGCTCTCGTGGAAATATAATACCGAAAGAGGAAGAAATAAGGAGCTCTGTGCCTTCTATTCTTGTAGGAAATTCATTAGAAAGTGATCGTTAGCTCCTCGACTTCACTATGACAAGAGAGACCATCTATCATCAGCTCGGAAAGTAAGTCAAGAGGTCAACCTCGCAAAGAACGAAATGGAGATTTATACAATTAAAAACACCTCGACTGGATGGTACAGATTTGGAATTTTCCAAAATTTTGGAGAAATTTGGTAGTCTAAGCTCTTGTGGAAATGTAATACCGAAGGAGGAAGAAAATTGTAGGAAATCCAGTAGAGAGTGATCGTTAGCTCCTCGTCTTTATTATAACAAGAGAGACCAACTATTAACAGTTAGGAAAGAGAGTCAGGAGATCATCTTCGCAAAGATCGAAATGGAGATTTATACAATTAAGAACACCACGAGTGGATGGTACAGTTTTGAAATGTTCCATAATTTTGGAGTATTTTCTGTTTCACTTATCTGGCGGAAACTATTTTGCACAATGTACAATCCTAAGTCAGTCTGGAGGAGAAACTAGAAGTACTAGACATTGATCCATCGAGTATTAAACGCAGATATTCGGACACATTGATGCTACAAAGCTAGCCAATTTTGGAATTGAAGATGATGTAACATACACTAAGCTTTGAAATGTTCTTCCAAATCTGAACACCCGAATGGGAAGAATAAACACCAAACACTCTACAAAAACTGTTCTGTCAGAATTTTTTCCCGATAAACTTGGCTTCCTTGGTTTCCATCAGATTACGTAATGCTTAAACTCTTATCCAGATTGTTACGGTTGCTGGTTTAGGAATTCTATCCGAAAAGGTTGAACTCTTCCTTCTCATCCAGTTATCGAATGCCCGTATCCTTTACCACGAGAAACTAAATCTCAAGACATCGGTCATTGATCATCGACGTGAATAGTCTTACATCATCTCTCATAAGATTAAAACATCTTCCTGACTACAATCCAAACTCTAATGAAACTTTGTCGAGTTGCGCAATTAACTGACTATTCTAGGATTAAGCAGAATAAAATGAACATTCCTCTATCCGAGATATCAAACATGATCGAAGAATGGACGGCAAAAGAAATGGCACAAACGATATCCCAATTGTTCAAATCCCATCTCTCACATAAAAGGATTTGGCCATTCTTGGCTATTGTTAGGAATTCGCTAAGACTTCTTACATATCGGGAACATATAACTGAACACATCAGTTCGTATAGAAGGAGAAGGACAAACGTCTTCTATGGGATTGTTCCGCAAGAGATGTCTTAAAACAAAGCAGGGTATACAAGAACGCTCAACATGTACATAGAACTTCGAGAATTCTCGTAAATGCCAAGAACTTTGGAAAATCATTAAAACCATTCCGAAATACGCTAAATAAGCCACACTGTTAAGTAAGGTACAAAATACACCAAAAAAAAACCCAGCACGATACTAAAACAAAAACGTGCGAGGTGGAGGCACGTTAAGAAAGTAAACTTTTGAGAGAATTTTTCTGTTTAACGATAACTAAAAAACGGAAATGCGAGAGAGAAAGAGAGTGTAAGAGTACAAATTGTGTACATAGGTGGTACACACAATTACTAAGCGCCTGCATTAATTTCCAGTTTTATTTGCTGCTGTTGTTGTAGTTGTTTTTGTGGCCATTGTTACTGATTCTTAAAAGGCAAAGAGGCTCGATATACAATAATCAATGTCAGAGAAAAAGCAAATGAACGAATACAAAGCACAAGACAAAGAAGCAAGGAAAGAAAAGAAGGGGGTTAACAATCTAATTTACTTATGGGGGCTGGTGTTGGCGCTGTTATCAAAAACATGGTGACTACAATGATGATGATGATGAAACTTTAAATGGAAATGCATAAATTGAAAAAAAAGTGAGATTAAAAGAGAGAGAGAGAGCGTTAACATATGAATGAGCTTGATATGGAATATAACTGGGGGATTGTTCGATTAAATGAAATTGCAGGCAAGAGAAAAGAGAGGATTTTACAGTTTTGTTGTTGTTGTAGTTTTACTTCATTAAGGAAAAAACATTGAGCAAAATATGTTTTTATTTGGCGCGTAAGGTAGGCAATGAGACATTAACAATCAAGTCGTGGCGGTGTTAAGAAATACAGAAAAAATATATAAATAAAGTATTTAAGCAAAATTTTATTTTGGCTTGTTTTAAAAAAATAAAATTCAAACAAAAGAATTAAACAAAATACTCAAAATTTGTTATAAATTTAAATTAAACAAAAAAAAAAAGAATACTCGAATAGTGTTAAAAAAATTCCATTAAGCGAGAATACTCCCAGCAATTTTATAAAAATATAAAAGAAAAATTTGCAATAAAAGAAAAATTCACAATTTATTAACAATTAATAACAACAAAAAAAGAAGAAACTTTACAGACCCTTAAACAGAGTTGTATTTTTAACGGTTAAACCTTAACAGCAGCGAGTACAGAGTCCAAAAACGCAGGCGCATCAATGCCCCCCGTCTTAGTAAAAGTGTAGGCGTTAATAAAATAATGAAAAATAGTGTATGTTTTATAACCTTAACGTTAAAGGACACATTCCAAAGGACATTACCATCAGACGCAAACAAAACATTAAAGAAACATTTTGATAACGTAACAGAAAATTTGTCATTTAACTATTTTAATGTACCAAAGCAAAGTAATTGCTAAACAATATATTTTAAAAAATTTGCAAGAAATCAAAAATAACAATTACCAACAACAACAACAACAACAAAAAACAAAAACTTATTATACTCAAAACATATCCCGAACTTAGTATTTATTTGTTAAAAACAAAATTATAAAATATTTATTAAAATTAGTGTTAAAAAAAACCTAAAGTAATCTCATATATTTATTATTATAAATTTAAGTATTTATAAACCAAAAACCAACAAAAACAAATTATTTATTAAATAACAAAAAATCTCATCATATACAAAATACAAAAACAACAAAATGTCATCAACCTCATCGGAATCGAATCTTAAACACAATAACGCCTTGTTGGCCACCGAAGAAAGTTCACATTTATTGGAAAAGGCTGTAAATGGAGCTGAAAAATATGGCTCACAACAAGCGGTAATTAATTTTTTTTTTATTATTTTTTTTTTAATCTATCATCAAGTACAGGAATTTTTTTTTCCATCAATATGTGTACAATTTTGTACAACATATGTATTTTATGGCAAAAGTCTGTATACAAGAGAATTTTTACCACAAATTTTTGTTTAAATAGCAAAAAGAAGATTAGTTTTAGTTGAAAATAGGAAATTTTAAACGAATTTCTTAAAAAAATTTTAAGTTAATTGTGACAACCAACTTTTGTGGTTGTGATTACTAAACTTGAAATGAAATACTTGCAAAATCATTTAATTTATTTAGTTATAAATCGGTTTATTTAACAAAAATTCTGCTGCTGCCACTAAAAGCATTTAATTGGTTGGTTTAATTGCCGCAACTAACTTTTATGTTTGTGATTACTAAATTTTCAATGAAATACTGGCAAAATCACTTAATTTGTTTAGTTCTATAACGGTTTATTTTCTTTCACTGCAACTAAAAACATTTAATTAATTGGTTTAATTGCCACAACTAACTTTTATGTTTGCGATTACTAAATTTTCAATGAAATACTTGCAAAATCACTTAATTTATTTAGTTCTATAACGGTTTATTTTCTTTTACTGCAACTACAAACGCTTAATTGTTTAGATAATTGCAGCAACCAACGTTTATGTTTATAATTACTAATTTTTAAATGAAATACTTACAAAATTTACTTAATTTAATACTTAATCAGTTTATTTAACAGAATTTCTGCAGTTAACATTAAAAAATATGTAATTAATGCCAGTGAATCATTTCATTGCCTGCAAATAGTTGATGTAATACAAATTTTTGGTTGCAGCAACCAAAACTACTCAAACGATGCTCTATAGAAGGTACTGAATCCTTTGTAATGCTTTTTTTAAAATTTCCCGATTAAAACTTTTTTCTTTATTCAGTTTCAATTTAAAAAATTTTAAATGTTTCAAAATTTTATTAAAAATTCTATAAATTAAACAACTTTTACAGTTAAAACTTTTCAATTTAGTTTCTTCTTTCCATTTAATATCAATGTCAAATTAACCTCTAGATAAACCATTTTAAAATTTCCTATTCTATCAAAAGAAAGTTTTTTTTAGATTAAAAACTTTTATAAATTCTAATCTTTCAAAGAAAACCTGCTTTATCTTAACTCTTTAAAAATATCTTTTCAAAAAATATGACGCAGCATTTTAAATTTATTCTATTTGCGTCATTTGGAAAATAAAAGTAATACTCTAGATACTAATACATTTCCAAAAAGACAAGGTGGTTAAATTATATTAAAATATTTACTAATATTACGTTTGGGTTCTTTTAATAACTTGCCCAGCAAACCTTTTTTAATAAATGTTAAGAAAACTCAACACGATTTGTTTAAAGAAGACTCTTATAAAACATTAATTGTTTTGATAATTTCTGATTGTAACAGATTCAGAACTAGTTTCAGGACTGGTTCTTTGTTATAGTTTACAGTTCTAGTTGTTATTATTTATAGGAAGAAGTTTTGTTTAACAAAGACTGGTTACCGGGCTGGTACTTTGGAATAGGTTATAGGTCTAGTTTACATTTTTTATATACAGGGAATAATTTAAAAGAACTTATTTCTTTTATATTAAAAGAAGTGTAAGGAAATGCCTTTTACATTTGTTGCTGGGTTACTAGACAAAAATAATGCGTGTTCTAATCAATTTCATAACAAAACAGAAAACTCCAAAAAAAAAGATCAACAATAAGAAAATATTCTTCTTCATTAAGAAATTCCATAAGTAAAGTAAAGAAAGAAAACTTCCTACGTGTTCAGACTATAAAATTTCAATTGAGGTTTCTTAAAGTAATGTTTAAAACATAGATTATCATCTTCAATAATGGATTTGTGTTTTTCTTCATTTTTTAAGATTATTTTGTATAGACATTTTCTTTATTCAAGACAAACTTTTAAAGATTTATTATAACAACAACAACACATTACATTCATATGGTGGTTTTGTTGACACTAGAGATGTAAATTTTTGCAACTTTTGCTTAAGCGAAAGCTACTCGTAACTTTTCATTGTGGGTACTTCAAACTTTTCAATACATTTTAAGAAAAAAGGGTAAACATTTTCTTAAATATCCCAAGCAAAATAAGGAAAACAAAGAATACAAGAAAACTAAAAACTAAAAGTAACTTTTTGTCAAAAAACTATCTATTAGTAACCGTTACTTGTGTGTTGGTTACTCATTTCCTTAGCAGCACTAGTACACACACAGTCGTTAGTCAGTTGAAGTATGCGTTTTCATGTTTGTTGTGGGGAACAAAAAAAGAAAACTTTTAAGATTAATAATTTATATGTATTTTTTGTATTCAATTTCATACTTGATCATCATCAGCATGGAAAATTTTTCAAGATTTTCAACCGGCATTTTTCTTTTCTCTTTCTTAATCTTTTTCAATAATTTCTCATGCGTTCAAATGGCGCGTTGTGTTGCATTTGTTTATGCTTTTCTGAATTAATTGCAAATGTCAAATTTTGACATTTTACATGTAGTGTAATGTTATTTATTTGGTTTGCTAGAAAATTGTAGTTAATTTTTGTGTAGACATTCAAATTTACCGTAAGATTTTCACTGAAGGTAAAGAGAAAATTTGGACAGGCAACCAGAGGATAGTTTGGTCTGATGTTTTGATAACTGTTTAGTCCATAGTCTTCACTGTATCCAAAACCTATATACATACTAAGAGGTCTCGACTATAGTCTTTTCAGTCTATAGATTAGTGTAGAGTCTCATCTATAGATTAATTTATAGTTTCGACTATAATTTCAACTATATTCTTGTCTATAGTCTTTTCTATAGTCTTGTCTAAAGTCTCGTCTTGTCTATAGCCTTGTCTATTATTTTGACTATAGTCTAGTCCGTAACGTAGAATATAGTCTATAGTCTTGACTGTAGTCTTGTATAGAGTCTTAACTATGGTCTTGTCAATACTCTTGTGTATAGTGTCTTGACTATAGACTTGCCTATAGTCTTGGCTAAAGTCTAGTTTATAGTCTTGATTAAAGTCTATAGTCTTGCCTATAATATAGTCTATAGTCGTGACTATAATCTAGTCTAAAGTTATGTTTATAGTTTGACTATAGTTTAGTCTGTAGTTTTGATATATAGTCTGACTATAGTATTGTCTATAGTTTTGACTATAGTCTTTTCTATACTCTTGACTATAGTCTTTTCTATACTCTTGACTATAGCCTTGTCTATAGTCTTGTCTATCGGCTTGTCTATCGGCTTGTCTACATTCTTCTCTACAGTCTTGACTATAGTCTAGTCTGTAGTATTGACATATAGTCTTGTCTATAGTCTTGACTATAGTCTTGTCTATAGTCTTGACTACAGTGTAGTCTATCATCTTGACTATAGTGTTGTCCATAGATATGTCTATAGTTTTGTCAATAGTCCTGTCTATAGTCTTGTCTAAAGTCTTGTCTATAGTCTTGTCAATAGTCTTGATTTGTAGTCTATGGTCTTGCCTATAGTATAGTCTAAAGTCTGGACCATAGTCTACTCTAAAGTCTGGACTATAGCATAGTCTAGTCTATAGTCTTGATTATAGTCTAGTTTTTAGTCTTTATTATAGTCTAGTTTTTAGTCTTGATAATAGTCTAGTTTATAGTCTTGGAAGTAGTATTGACGATTGTTTAACCTATAGTCTTGACTACACTCTAGCCTATTATGCTGACAACAATCTGCCCTATAGTTTTAACTATTAACTAGCCTATAGTACTGTTTAGAGTCTAGTCCATAGTCTAAACTCTAGTCCAGTTTATAGCTTTCACTATACTAATCATTTGCCTTAAACACTGAAAACTACATTTCTCACAAATGTAAATTTTTGTTCTAAATCCAAAAGTTTTATAAAACTTGTTTGTTTACTGGCTTATAACACTAGGGGTACTAAATATTGCTAACTATAGTACCTTATTATGAATAATTTGCAAATAATTATAATATAACAATATATCTAAAGTCGCAAAAACATTTAAAGTGTTTATTTTAACAGTTTCATTACCACAGAGGTTGAGGTGGGCGTAAAGAGAAATGCTTACCAGACTAGGTTGAACGATAAAAAGTCTTCAGATTTGTTTAAAACATTTTTATAGTTTTGAAAACTTGTTCAATGAATTGCTTTCATTCATCTACACATTTTTTGCAAATAAAACTAAAAGTTTATTTAAATGAATGAAATTTATTATTAAATATGTTTACACATAAATAAATAAATTATAAATTTTATATTATTTTCTCAAGGTTATTCATGACAAATGAATCATATTTCAACTAAATAATAGCTATTCTCTTTTGGAATAAAAAAATTGTCTTTTATTTAACCCCAAAAAAATAAAAATAAATATTTAGAGCATTATATCTATAAAAGCCAAACAAATGATAGACAGAAATGAATATAACAAAAAAAAAAGTAACAAAAGAGTTACTTATTTATGTGAAATATACAAATTAACTAAATATAGGTTCATTGGCATTTAGCTTATAAATTTATTTAATAATTATTAAGTAAATATAATTATAAACAGCAGCAAAATGAAAGTATTCTGTTTATTTAGCTAATTTTTATTAAAATTATATCTATTTTATGTCACTTTTTGTGGTAAAAAATTCTAAGAATTTTGCTTTATCTTTGTTTTAAACATTTTCTCTTACGCCCGGCCCGGCCCCCAACCAAGCAAACTCAATTAAATGTACATAACTTATACATTAAAGAAAAATTGATAACATTTAGTTATAACAAAAAAAATATACTATAGCTAATAAAAACGTTATAATTTAGCCATATTTATTTAATTTTTTTCTATATAATTTTATCTAAACAAATATTTATATCGACTATACATTAAACAAAAAAGACAAAACCAATACCAGGAAGGAAATTAATAAAAGGAAACGTTTATGATTTTGGTATATTATGTTTGTTTTGTGTTAAACATTAATTAAAATTT